CATTAATACAACATTATTTAAAAACCTAAAAACCCCAGACAAAGCATAGTCTAGCCAATACAGAGATGAGAAGAGAGTGATTGTACAAGTGTTTAGTAGAGAAAAACACATTCTGCCTAGCAACCACAGGCACTCCTGGCCATCCGGGGGAGGAATCTAACACTATAAATGCCAGCAAGCAACTCATGCCACTGTGCCTCAGATACAAAGGCCTAGTCACTGGGCACTCAGAAATAAAATAAAAATAGTTATTGAAGGAATATTCAGAAAACCAGATGCAATTATTAGCTTGCTTCCCTCTGTAACTTGAAATAAAGATTGCTCCTAGCTAGATGGGCTCTGGGCTTGGACTGACTTATTTATAAGCTGTTTTCTCACCCAGTTTATATACAAAAAGGAGAGAGGACACTGAAAGCAATTTACCATTTTGATGTTATTGAAATAGGAACTCAATGTGGTACTAAAGTATGTGATGGTCCTGAATCCAAGGTCAGACAGGTGTGTCTGAGGATGATGGTTATCAAAACAAAGCACTGCCAGCAAGATGTTTTTTTCATTTTTATCCTTTCTTATGAGAATGAAATTTTTTTCTGCCACTATAACTAGCTGAGTTAGTTCAAATAGTTCCATTATTTTTAATGTGCTGAACAATTTATTATGAAGTGTGAGCTGAGACTAAGAATCTCCTCCTAAAAAAATGTGTCAATGAATGGATTCCTGGCTAGAGAAGTTACTAACCATATTAGGCAGCTAAGGAAGGTCTGAGGAAGGACTGTCATGCCCATCTTGCAGATGAGCCTCAGTGTGAGGAGACCAAGAGTCTTGCTCTGTGTTTACACAGTGCATCTGCATCGCAGAAGGATGTTTCTCACTGCTGCTTCAGTACTGAAATGGCTTTTCCTCTCTGGTTCTGATCCAGAAGAGATCAGCCAGGACCTAAGGTCTGCTGACTGCAATAATCTACATGAAATGGGCTCACCAGTTCTAGGAGAAATAAGACCAGAGTACATGAAGGTGATATGTTTCCCTCACCCCAAATTTCCCTAGAATATGCATGTTTACCAATCTGAAAATCACAGTGATTCACTCCTCCCTTGACCCTAGCACTTGATTTCTTTTTCAATATCTTCAAAGTTCACTGCATACATGAGAGATTGCACACAAGGGACACCAACCCAGTGCCAAGGCTGGGAAGGCAGTAACCTCACCTTGAAAATGTTAGCAACACATTGCTTTACAATAATCCCTCTTCAGGACAGCTTCACCTGGGTGACAGACTGTCCCAGGCACCATTTATGCTGATGTCCCCAGTGCATATAAACAGGGTTTCCAAGATGATGGCTACCTCCAGGTGTGATGGCATGTGTTTCAATTCAGTGTGTAAAAGCTAAAACCTTTGATGAACAGAGACTACTGGAACCAGCAAGGCTAGGAGCTCTGCTCATGCAGCTTCCCAGAGACAGTGAGTTTGTCCTTGCTGCTCTCTGAAAAAGGAACAGACTATGCAGAGAACATGGGGCCATCGTGTTCCTGCCCACGCACAAACAGCTCCTGCTTTCAGCCCAACTTTGGAGAAAAAGCAAACCAGTCAAACAAATATTGCTGTATTTCAGGGAGCAGCAGCCACTCCACCTTTCTGCCATGGGCTGGCTGTGCAGCAGGGGGATAAATGCCAGGACCATCCATGGCTATCCAAGCATCCCACTAGCTGAGACATTTGTCTTCATGAAGGAGGGCCCATGGTCAAACTTCTCCCCCTAGTTCATCTCAGTATCCAGGAAAAGAGCTTTCTGTGCACAGATCTCTGGGTTATTTGCTGAATAAAATTCTTTCTCATTAGCAGGCCAAAACCCAAGAAACAGCCACTGGAACAAACAAGGTTCTGTGCAAATATAATCCCCACCTCACCACCAGGGAATTAAAGCCAAGAATTAGGCTGTAGCCATTCCCTTTCAGCACAATGAATGCTTAAGCAGGTTACAGCTTTGCACTGTGAACATTTTCTGGGGAGAAAAAAGAACAACTGCTTTACCAGCCCAACTTGCTGCTCTCAGTGCAACAAGGCTAGGGATTTTTTGACAAAATAGTTAAGAATGATTACTGCACGTCAGTATGCTTTTAGTGTTAACCTCGAGGATTGATGGAAGTGCTGGTATTTCTTCAGCCTGCTTTTTTCCCATCAGTTGTATTTGTGATGTGCAGGATAAAGGGCCTGGCTAACATGGAAGATGCCAGCTAACAGAACCTTCTCATTTCTGCTGCAGCAGAAATTCATACAGGTGCCTGAGAAAGATAGATTCTCATTTCCCACACAGAAAAACCTATCCTTCAGAGACTTACACTGAGTTTGTTAAGCACTGCAAGGAAAAAAGTTACCTGGAAAGAAAAAGGAAATAATTTACTACTGGATTTGCTATCTGAACTGCTCATCAAAGGTGCAGATCTACCCTGTAATTCTTGAGCTGAATTTGGCACTTCACTACTCAGGACAAGAGGCAGCTGATGCACTCGAGGCAGACATAATTGGTACTGTTTTGTAAGAAGGTGGGACGGTGCAACTCAGAGATTTTGATTCTGTTCAAGCCCATGTGCTGATTACAGGCTATACAAAGTGAACTTTCTCTTGCTGAGACATTTCTAGCTAGATTGTGACTTCTCCTGCACTTCTCCAGACTATGAAAAGCTTACACCACACAGAACTGAGGAGCAGGGATGGAACTGCACACAGGGCTAACCCTGAGATGAAGCTTTGGATGTGGTGCTGACAATTCATAAAGAAGAACATGGGCTGGATAAAACCCACAGGATATGGGGGCTGTGGCAGAGGGGTAGCAGGATGTGGTGTACACAGGTCTCACCAGCAGATCATCACTTACAAGGGAAAGCACACAAAAGGTGATGAAGCCAGCAGCTCTGTGACACTACTGCAGGTTGGGTTTTGCACCTGGCTTCCACACCACGCTGTAGTAGAGGATGGCCTTAGCATTCTCCCTCCTTCCCATGCACTGCCTGGAAATTGATCCTGTCTCCTGCAAAGCAGCCCAGCTGCACACAGTGTATTTGAAAAAAAAACAGGGATGTCCTGTGTCCAAACCAGACACAGGAAGGTACATGGGCACTGTGACTTTCAGGACCAAGCACAGGTGGCACAGAGAGCCAAGGCAACAGAAGATCCAGAGAGGACTTTGAGTTGCAGCAGCACTGCCTGGTTCACAGAGACAACCTGGGACATGCAGCTTCTTGAGGACAGTGGTGGTGCCAGAGCTGGGATTTGCTCAGAGCACAACCAACAGCACACAGTGCAACAGGCCTCAGTACAGATGAGCCAGACAACTGCTTGAGCTCACCTTTGTTTCAAGCTAGAATAACTTCAGGGAGATAAACAGCAGTGTGGCTGCTGGAGGCTCTACAGGAGTAGTTGCAATTCAACTTGTTACCAGTGACTGAATTACAAAATCTGTGTCATGCCAAGTGGGTAGAGAAATGAGTGCCATGGATGTCAGACACAGACATGATGCTGGAGAAGGGCATCCCCCTGGCACATCCCACCTGCAGGTTCAGTAACACAGACTCCCTCCTAAGAATGAGAATCCTTGGGTTTCATGCTGTGCTCCTTGGAAAATAACCCAGAAACTGTCTCCTCCTAAAATGAAGCTGTTAGAGGGAGGCTCTGTGTCCTACTATCATGGCAAAACCAAATTAGAATTGATTTTCCTCAGTTGCCACAGATAACAAAAAAGCTGACACTACCACTGGTAGTAAAATTCTTGTGCATATGCCCTTTAAAAAAATACAAGGGACACTCTGGTAGCAGAACTCTCTGTCACCTCTTCTGGGATCAAAAGTACATGGCATAGACTTTCAATCAAACCTCAAAACTCCCAAATTACAAACAGATACAGCTGGAAAGATCCATTCAGCATTCTCAGCCTAGTAATTAATTTACTAAAATCTTTAGGTACCACTGTCCTGGTCTAAAATGTACTTTGCTCTATTATGTTTGTGAGTGCTCCTGAAGCAGAAAAGGACCAGCTTCAGCAAGGTTACTGATCATAGAACTCCGTACTAAATAAAGATGATGTAGTTTCAAATTTTCTCCTTGTAGTTTGGATATTACAAAACCATTGAATGCCACAAGAAGGTTCTCAAGAGTTAACTCCTATTCAGGAATGAAATCCTCTTTTTTCATATTTTAAGGAATTTTCTCTGACTTTTAATTCCAAACACAGAAGGAGTAACTGAACAAAAATAACAACAGCTGCCCAACACTTCCTCATTCCCTCACCTCAATAACACAGTTACAAACAAAACCTCCACACATGATAAAGGTTATTACAAACTATTTCCATTTACAAAGCCAAACCATTCTCTACATCAGCTCTTGCACAGTGCCAAGAATCTGCAGCTCTCAAGCACATGCCAACCACCTTCTGTGACACACAACCAACTCCACCACTGACCCCTTCAGCCACCCCAGGCAAAGATGGCACACTTAGTACAGGGAGAGCTGGGTGTAGGAAAGGGGGATAAATCACAGCTTACACAGATGAGCCAAAGGAGCCCAAACTCCACAGCACTGTGCAGGCTGTAGGGATGATACAAACTACTGAAGTGCTCATTTCAAAGACAGGGGTTCACAGAAGCTGGAAATGCAAGATGTGTTATACTGAGGGAGGCTTGGGGACACAGGCCAGCTCATTTTAATGCAATTGTATGCAGACGGTTTTGCTTTTTCAAACCTGCTTTAACTACTCTTTAAGACTTGTGTGTGATCCTCTCCCAGCATTCAAATATATTCATATTCCATGTCTGAATTGCCTTGTACAGCATGGCAGCAGAGACAGTGTGCTTAAGTGATCAAAGCACCTTTCAGAGCTGCACTACCAGCACTTACAAACAGACTTGTTTTACAAACATTTTGGTTTACAGTCTCAGTGAGATGACATGTTTTCCTCATCCACCCCATGCTGGATACAGAAGTGGCACGTGCTGACACTTACCTAGGAAGCCCTCTTCATCCACAATGATGGTGTAGTCCTCAGGGGTTTCTGTGAGGCTGAAGAACTTGCACCTGGCAAAGGCAAACAGCAGGAGAACATGATTAGCACCTGGACTGAGCAGAGCCTCATCTTCCACCTAAAATGGAAATCCTTCCCCATCCAAGCTGTGCTGAAGGAAAGAGTCACAGTCTGATGTTTATGGAGAGGCCTGAGGCATTAACAGACCTGGATTTTATTTCTGGGTAGCTCATACTGTGTGACCCATATTCCCTGCTGCCTGCCTATGCACAATGAAGCTGGTAAAACTCTTATTGTTTTTATTACTTAGTTCTTAGTTACTTTTCTTAATTACCATATCCCTTAAGGCTTCCCATCACATCCAGGACCTGCTGTGTTGCACTGACACAGAGCAAAAAACTTTGCTCACTGATTGCTCACTCCAGCACCTCCAAAAGTATTTCCATGGTTCACACGTGCACCTTTTTGCCCACTGAAGTTTCTTGCCTTATCAAGGCTGGACATCTCTGAACCAAGCCCCAGTATCTCTTCTTTGCTCCTTCAGAGGTTTTTGGCTTTTTCCCAATTTCCTGTGCTGGTCCTCTCCCCTTCCTGGGGAGCTCCTGGTGAAGAGTGGTGGCAGCCATCAAGCCAATGGACACAAGGCTGAGCTGTCCCCCTGCCCAACCCCTGTGGCCTCTGCTCTGCTCCATCTTCTGATATCACAGGCCATGTGCAGTGCAGCACCCCCAGCTCCTTCACCATTTAACACAATGTCACCTCTAACGGGAGATACAAATCCAATGTGACATGGGATTCTTCCACTGCACACACACAAACAAAAAAAGCTTCAGCCTTAAGGCTTAACATCACATATAGCTGAAAAGGTTTTTTTTCTCCCTGACACACCAACATATGTACATCAACATCTACTGAAAAAAACCCAGTTTCTATCTAGCTGGTTCCCAGCAATGGCAGGAAGGTCAGCATGACATTTTGCAAGCTCATGTTCACCTTCAGCAGAGCATCAGCACAGTCTGGCCAGCATCCTTGACACCCACAGCACTCCTGGTTCCTCCAGGAGAATGCCAGAGCACATGGACTGACTGTGTTTGTTGCCTAAGACCAGGAGAAATTTTTCCCTCTAAATTGGGTGCAGCAGGAAGAGCATGTGTCTCTAAGAACCAAAGAGCAGGATTTCACAGTTACACTACAATACTCTCAAATTTATCTGAGACAACATACAGAAAATATTTTATTTATACTAGAAAAAGTCCAGTATTTAAAAAGAAAGAGAGAAGAAACAGATTGTTCTCCAGGCCCCCACATTTCACAGCATCTTCACAGTGTAATTTCTGCATGAAGCACAGTTCAGGAGGATTCAAGAACCAGGGACTACCAGGGCTTCTCAGCACTGCTGAGCATCTGTGTCCAAAAGTCTTCAAGACTTCTGAAAGTCTGGAATCCCATATTGGTAGCTCAAGACATCAAAAAATGAAAGCATTAATTTCATAAAGAATCAGATGAAAACCTGGCTTCAGCATTCTTTTGACTGGCTGAAAAGAACAAACATAGCAGTTATCCCCTCCAAAAGCAGCAGGGAGAAAAATGAGATGGATGCTGCCCTCCTCATCACCTCATCAGAAAACTGAGAGGAAACAACACACAGTTCAATTAGTGGGCTGCCATGTAACCAACAGGATTTCATGTACATGGAAAGCATCAGACAACCTGTCTTTAGAGACCTGTCCTGTTTTCCTGGAAGCATCCATCACAACAATCAGGCAGAACACTCCTTCCTAGCACAGACAGAGCATTCTAAAATACAGACATGGCCCCACCACAACAGAAACCACAACTTAATTATTTTGTGTCATTGGTAATAGCTGCTGTGACAGCCACATTTACCAACTCAACTCTCTCCAGGAATAGTGCCAAAAGAAGCAGAAAATAGCAGCAGCTCAATTTTTTTACCATCACTTCTAAATTGCAGGAGGCTGCTACCAGTGCATGGGATAATACAAGCTGGGCAAAAAGGAATTCTGGGATGCTGCTTCAGGTGGGTACCAGCAGGCAGAAGTATTTGTTACAGTGGGTGAATTCCCTGGAGAAGTCACTGAAATAAAACTCTTTGTTTGACTGAGTCACATGCATGCTGAGAAACTAGAGGTCCTAAAGGAGAAAACATTAATATTAAAAACCTAACCTTTCCTGATCTGCCACGGCATTTATGGAAGAATTTTTTACTAGAACAGTAATATGTGTCTGTGTGCACACACTGACCTTAGCAGAAGAATGATTGTGACAGATGCCAGTTTCTGGCCACACATCTAAATATGCTGATATTTAAGGGATATATACACATGAAATCCCATAATTGCTGCCTCAGAACTCATGTCAAAACCTCATATCTTCATATACCACCTCAAAGCCCAATCCCCAACTCAGTGCAGTTCTGTAAAAGGTCAGGACCACAGAGCCATCTGAATTTAAAAGTGAAGTCTTTCACCAGCATAGAGAAGACCAGTGGTATACATTCATTTAGTTCAAGCCAATGATACATTCTTTCCCCAGAGGAAATCTAGACATGAAAAACTGGAATTGCAAACCTTGTGTGATAGAAAAAAGAACTCAATGTCATCTCTCTCCCCCACATTACACTACACATGCCTCTTCCATTGGAGTTATTTCAATAATTTCTATTTCCTCTTAAACCAGACTTCAATAAGCTGAATGCCAACAGCATCTTCCATTATCACACCAAATCCAAGAAAGGAAAAGAATTACCCTTTAATAATTTTGAGCCATCAGACAAACAGTATTTCTCTAAGTACATGTGGAAAGCCTATATGTAGGAAGACAGTATTTTTAGTTTCCTAATAGCCAAGCCTTGGATGGATTATTTTGGATTTCTGCCTTCTCAGTGTTTAAGCACATTTCCACTGAAGCACTGTTGCTGACTTTGACTGCCTGACAACATATGCCTTTTTCTGGCAATGCCACAAATGTAGACCAATCTATTATTAGATTAGATCTTTGAAACTGCAAAGCTTACACTGTGTATGGAAGAAATCCTCAAGCTTGCACAGAGCAGGGAAGTGCCTACGGGATGCAGCAACAGCATCATTTCAGTTTGCAAACATTGCTGCAGTCTCCAGGGGAGAAGTGAGCAGGAAAGTGGAGTGCCTGGCTGTGCTTGCAGGTCCACACCAGAAGTGTCTCCTCCAGACATTTGGTCTCCCAGGTCTGCTGAGATCACAAGAGTGGTAATACTGGGATGAATGTGAATTCTGTTTGTTCTGGGTCACACACAGAGCACAAGTTTCTGGGAATACTGCTGTGGGTCATCTGAAAGTTCAGTACAGACAATGGTCTTTAAGGAATACCACAAGTCCTACCTCCTTATTTATAAAGAAACTGCTTAATTAATTGTTATCTCAGCAGGGTGAAGTGTTACAAAACTGTTTGCCCTATGGAAAAGATTCATTCCAGAAGCATATGAGCAGCTGGTCTCCCCACACGTAGGAAACCATGGCTAAATGCCATTCAAGGAAGTCAAATGCAAAGTCTGGAAGTAGCACAGAAGTTTGGAAAGAAGCAGTTGAATGGAAGAGAAATTTAGAAGCAGTAGCAGCAAGTTAATCTGTGTGAATATGAAAGACATAATTTGTTGGGATTTGTTCCAGGCTGTCTTCCCATTTGAGATGAGGAGGGATTTGTACACTTCACTCTGTATGTTATCATGACAATATATATTCTTATCACAGAATAAGACACATGCTAATCATCTAATTCTTGGTGATCCTTTTTGCAGTTTATAAATAATGACAAGAGGAAGATTCACTGCACCATCTTGTGAGACATATTTGGAAAGCAGCAAAGGACACCTGTGCTGTTAATGACACAGAGGCCATAGAGGACTGTTAAAAGGGTGAGCAAGTCCTGCTGAGCACTCCCTGGTTCTCCAGTTCTCCACTCATCCCATGGATGGGGTCCCACAGTCCCAGCTGGTGCAGTGTTGCTCTCAGAGCACTGCTGTGGTAGCAATCACTACCTGTTGCTCTTCACCCTCAGCAGAAGGGTCCTCTGAGAGACCAGGCAAGGTATTCAGCCCAATTTCCTCTCTCTCCACAGCAGCTCTCCCAAAAGCCCAACAATGCCCTTTTGGGTCCTTGAAATACCCTCCCCTGAGCCCATCTATGCCAAGGACACAGGGGCTCTCTGGGCCAGGCACAATGGGCTGGTTTTGCCATTCATTTCCAGTCAGGCTCTGTTCAGCTTCCAGCAGAGTTGGGATCCTCCTGTCACTACAGAAATGGAGCTGGATTGTGCCCCTACATATCTGGGTGGGATCAGGGTGCACTGTGCAGCAGTGTCAACTAAAGCTGCATGTGCTTGTGGCTCTGATGTGCCACAGATCCACACAGTCCAGCAGATCTGACTGTCCCTGTCCTCCACCTGGCTGGAGGCAGGGCCCCTCTAGTTCTGGCCACAGACTCCATGCTCACTTCTTGTAAATGGGAACTGGAGGTCCCTTCAAGAGGATCAAAACCAACATCATCCCTCCTACTGCCTCTGAGGACTTCCCCACTGGAGACATCTCTGCAGCTCCTGCCAGGGCAGTGCAGAGCTGCAGAACACTATCAGGGTGCTGTGCAGCTCCACAAAGCCAGGAGACTGGTAAGAAAATCATCTGCTGTTCTTTATGTCAAAATGAAATACCTGGAACCTCAATACTAGGATAAAATGAATTTAAAGCAAGCTTAGGCAGAAGGTGAACCATAGCACAAGAGAAAATGCAGATGCACATATCATCTGCAGCAGGCCATGAGTGTCTTCAGGAACCAGAGCAGCACAGCATTGCCAGCATCAAGGGACAGCAAAAGCCTTAAACATGGACCAGCCATGGCCATCCTAAGACTGCTGAGGTGCTGCCTATGCTACACTGACCTACTATTTCCTTCAGAAGAAACTCAAGTGGAGTTGGGCTGTAGAGCTGAAATTCGGTCACTCATACAGCAGGCAGGGGGTGCAGCTGGGGGCTCCAGAGCTGGAGTTTAGTCTGCAAACCACA